ACTGTGTTAGTGATGAGTCTGTCCCTACCACTATGCTCTACCTACATCAACTACTTTGCCAAACAGTTTCCTCACAACGAAGGAATCTGCACTGATCTTCAAGCAAACTATGGAAAGTCTGTGAAAGAATCATGAAGCTTTCAAGAACATTTTATATATTGATACAACTTTTAGGATATATTTTCATATTGCATTATTACTCCTACCTCTGATCAAGATACTTATAGATTGTTTACATTTTGAGGTCATTTTCCTCATTTGTTGCACATCTGTTTACAAGATCATTTAATATTTTGACTTGAAGTCTTAGATTTTAAGTTATACAGGTACGAATATACAGGCCAATAGTTGTTCATGTTTGTTATACATATAGTCAGATCAATTAGGTTCTTTAGATACATAGAGATTGTATTCTGTCTAGATAGGTAATCTTCAACCACTTGTGAAACATGGCATTTAAATAATTTAGGGTTCTGTTGACATGAGACATGATTGCTTCTGACAGGACCAATCTATTCCTGAGAGAATGTTGAACACTGAAGACACTCCACTTGGAGGTTGTTTTCTTCTTGGCAAAACTGGCCTCTGGGCGAGGAACTGGCAATGCCTCAACCACTGACAAGTTGCATGATATCTGGAAATGGATAAGCAGGACTGTCAAATCTTGCCAAGACAAAGTAAGATCCTTTTGAAAATTTTTCCTGCCTCTAAAAATAGTCTGTCAGTTACACTAGGCCTTAGCCAAAGTTGGTTGATTCAACATTGCAAATGAGACTTTGGGTGACTGCTTAGGTAGCTAACTGTCTCCATCATATATTGCTCGCTTTGGAAGCTACTTGATTGAACTTCCTGCCTGCACAAGTAATATTATCTCCCTTCTCAGGCCTTCGATGGGGTTGAAGATTAGATAGTCATAAGTACTGTACTCTTATGATCTAGCCAAGCAATTTCCTATGAATAGAATGTTTATTAAAGCATTTAGCATATGTTCCTTGCTTAATATTGTTTATACTGGTTGTAATTCTAATTATACTTGATATTTGTTCCTAGTGTATATAGTTTTGTATTGGGTTTGGAACTCTCTTATTTAAGCAAAAAGGGAAAGTGCTGTGGGAGCACATTCTACTCCTTCAGCCAATAGCCTTTAAGATAGCAGCCCACTTGGGCATGGTCTCTTATACTGTAAAAGCATCAATAACAATGTACTCACTCTCTTCATCTGGTTCCTAGTTCTAGCTGCTAGACTCTGCTCCTGTTCATGCAGAGGACTGTTGTCTAGGACAGTGATTTATAAGTTTTCCCTTTTACCCTTAAATAAATAACCCTTTTATTATTCATAATTTTGAACTGGTGTGCAATCATTTTGTGACTTATATCATCAAGCATGGGCATTAGAGAAATCCCACTGCACTGCCCATGAATGCC